CAAAAAAAAAAATAACAGTAGAAGTAATTAGTAATTATCTCTACTGTTATTTTTTTTTTGTAAAATCTTATAATCGCAAGTAACACATCATTTTTTTATTTAAAACTAGCTGACCCGGCGAACTCTGTTCCGCCTTAAAGGCAATAAATAAGCAAATCTTTCCTTATTTGCTCACCGTTTAGACCTACCCTGGACTACGACAAACATTTTAACACCAAAATCAGCTCAATCGGCCCAGCCGTTCTCGAGTTTTAATCTGACTAACGAACATCAATTCATTTTTATTTATATAGATGTTACGGTCAAAGTGATAAATGTGAAAATTATGAATAATCGCCGGTTATTATGAATAATTACCGCATGATTTGGTAAATGTGATTAATATGAGGTCCTTTATGTGTGTATAAAACTAAATAGGCGGCTTAGGGGTGGCCCAAGGGCCACCCCCGCCGCACCTTAACCTATTTTTCACTTTAAATCAAAACATTATGTTATAGGCATCATGGAAAAGTAATATTATGCAAGAAACATTCCAAACTCACTATGCCAAATTATATTAATATATGATATCAAAACGTTCAAAAGTTTGGCTGTACACGAGCACATACACAAGATGTTGCTCTCTTTTATGAAATTTGTTAGTACTAAGGTTGAATTATGAAATAATCACTGTTAAATGTGATTAATTTATCACTTTTACCGCGACTGTCGGTAATTATTCATAATAACCGGTTATTATTAATAATTTTCAATTTATCACATTAACCGTAACATAGATACAAAATAGAAAATTATAATTTACTTCTATTTATCGATAATAGGAAACCGCATTAGAACACGAGCACGGCACTATGTTACGACCGGCACATGCGGCCGTACTGTGTATTTTCACACGACAGTGGATATCGGAAGAAATTAAATACATTGCGCAGTAGTTGAGCATGACATAAAGTGGTTGCTAACTATATCGTCAATGTACAAGTTTGTTAGAATTTTTATCACCACTGATTTCGATATCGCAGTAACTGTTACGGCACTGAATTCGTTCGTAAAAATGTTTAGTTTTTTTTTTATTTATAAGCAAAATACCAATGGATTTGTAATACTTACATGTAGTAAATGACTCCATTGTTCCTGTAGTTCTTCGTTTCACTTGTTTTTATTGCACGAACGACGCATTATCCAAAATATCGGAGAACATTTCCTTAGTACGACTGAATCACGACTAACCTAGCTACGCGGCCGATGTTCGTTTCTGGGCATATCGCGGAGACACGCGCCACGCCCCCGTTTCACATCTATTCCCTTCTATGATCTGAGCTATTTTCAGTTGTGCGGTTGAGGTGAGCTGATCACCATGGGCAAACTACTCTCGAAGATCTTCGGGAACAAGGAGATGAGGATATTGATGCTGGGCCTAGACGCTGCCGGCAAGACTAGTATCCTTTTTAAAACAAGCAAAAGAAACCAGAAGGTTTCTTCTACATTTTAATAAATTATCTTTCACCAGAGGATTAATTACTACATCTCTAATTACTTCTTAAATAGTCATCATCATCGTCAGATTACTCAGTATCAATTGCAGACGATCCTCTAATTTACCACAATCCTTGCTGGCTAAACGGATTGAGGAGAACTAATGTCCTAAACAAATTTTTTGTTCTATAAATAAAAACTGCATAAATTAATAAATTAACTTCTTGAAGTGTGCCATGTTATCCTTTAATCTGGAATATTTATCACACCAACTGTAACTAATGGTTTTCTAATAAAATAATTATTCGTCGTTTAATTCAGAGCATAATTTCGCAGCTAGTTGCTCACTCAGCCGATATTCGAAAATCAGTCGCATAAATTACGACAACCGATAATTTAACAAAAAGAGCGCTTCGTTTATTCTGCGAGGAGTTTTCATACATCTAATGCTCATCTGACTGTGCATTGTTATTTGAAAAGAGCCCTTATTTCCAATACATAAGATGCTACAGTAAAAACTTGATGTGCCGTCTGTACAATTTTACCAATAATCATAGCGGTTAGTCAAGCGTTGCTTGTTTACAAGATATTGTCAATAAAACCTTTTTTTATTAACTTTGAAAAGTCGTTAGCAAGCTTATTGTAAATTATTTTAAATTTTGCCTAGTGTATTCTTGCTAATGACTCAATTAATTTGATTTGGGCACCATGACTAATGAAGATAAATGAGATTTATTGTAAACAAACATTAATAAATATTAGTACTTTTATAAAGTTAAAAAGGTGGTTTCAAATACACGATTGATATTATTGTTAGTCCTATTTTTTGCAATTTGTCACATTGGTTACATTAGGTATGATTTGAATTTGAACCACTCGCAAACAGTGTTGTAATTAAAATTAAATCTACAGATTGTTTTCGTTTCACGCAGAAAAAAATGGACCAATTTATCTTCGATCATTTATTAATTCTTTACCACCTAGAAGTTTCGTTGTAGAGTTAACGAGTTAACTGAGGTTTTTCAAAAATAAAAGTAAAAAATTATTACGAAATCTGTGAGATTTGGAATTCAAATATTTCACAATAAGTCAATAATCTTTAAACTCGAGACCCTTTTAAACTCTTCTGTGGTTATTTAGAATTCTCACAGTTAAATCATAATTTTAGACTTACGTTAGCTAGTAACAATTTTGTGCGCAGACCGACATAAGTCATCAAATCGGTCTGCATATTCAAGATATACTAAATGGGTTAATAGTATGTTAAGTTATTCATTATGCTGTCTGGGAGTTTTCTAATACCACACCTTAGATTTATGTGGCTCGACAATACATTTTGTTTAGCGAAATAGAAGTGTCACTCAGGTTGTATGCGTAATAAATACTTATAACTATTGGGTTACACGTGTAGAAGTACCTATAATTAAATACGCAGTTTACTGTACTCGTATACTGTATACAGTCCTGTTATTTATGTATTATTGAATTGACTTTTGGATTGAAACAATCGTGACGTATTCCAGACTAATTCTTCGTTTATAGTAATCGAGACTAAGTATACAGACGTTAATATTGCACATCAAGCCAGACACTGTGGGCTCTTATTTAGTTAAATTAGTGCTATTTTGCACTAAACTATGTTATATTTTGTGCTAAATAAACGGAACGCGGGAGTTAAATGCCGCATTCCAAATTACACGTTCCAAAAGTAAAGAAGAAGCCATATTATTAATGGATAGCTAAGTCTGCTTTGGAAACCTAAATATTAACCAGCAGTAGGTATATCACCAATAGGTTTAAATCATTTATTATCCCACACACCGATTTGACACACATCCCGATAATGTAGGAAAAGCCGAATAAGCGACAAATACGCGAACATCGGGCTTCCCAAAATAAGTAGGTCATGTTGCGGTGGAAATTAAATGACTTATAACGATGATCCATATTTTACCTCTGGTGAATCAAGGACAGTCGAGCTTCTGTAGTACCGTGATGATGATGAGAATGAATGAGAATCTGGCAGAGAATACCCAATGGGATTTGTTCGCCTTATGTACCAATTCCTGCATCTTCAATCATCAGCATCAAACCTCCCTTGAAATACTTGAGGGAGGCATTTGTCCAGCAGTCGACGACATTCGGCAAACGAACGAACAGTGTACCAATTATTGTGTGGCATTAAAGAATAAATAAATGAGATTTGACAGATGATTTCCTTAGCGCAGAGCTCAGCTATTTTATATAAACTAAAATTAGGTCAGTCAGTCACAACGATACCGACGGTCGGCTTCAATGTGGAAACCGTCACGTATAAAAACGTCAAATTCAACGTCTGGGACGTTGGGGGGCAGGACAAAATACGACCGCTATGGAGGCATTACTATACGGGTAAGAAATCTCCAAAACATAATTTTGAATTTATTTATTTCTTAGTAAAATTCTCAGTCTCCAGGTTGACCGACGACCTCATTAAAGCAGGAGGGCGCTAAATGCAGGCCGCTACCAACCGGCCACTGGAAATCATTAAGGGAGTCCTATGTCCAGCAGTGGGCGTCCTATCCTACGGCTCAAAATAAATGATGATGAAAATTATCAGTGTTTAGTGTAGTATGCTATCTATGTTGAATCAGAATTCAAGAGCACGTAGAAGAAGTACCCTGGCCACAGAATTGCCACAAACTTAAGTGGCAGTGGGCGAGACACATATTAATTCTACTCGTAGAACTGATGGCAGAAAAGTTTACAACCAAGTTAACCAGTGGCTACCACGGACCGGAAAACGTAGAATAAACACCTCTCCAAATAAAAAATTTTCTTTCTTTCTTTCTTTCTCTCACTCTGTGAACTGACGATCTGGTGAAGATTACGGGAAGCGCCTGCATATGGGTTCGTTGTGGAAATACTTGGGGAGATCTCCAGATGTCCAGCAGTGGACGACATTTAGTTGAAACGAACCCAGTGTTTTGTTTTTCTTTGTGTAATTTGACCAGCCCTTCCTAGTCCTACCAATACTCACAGGAACCTCTATCGTTTCCAGGCACCCAGGGTCTAATATTCGTGGTGGACTGCGCAGACCGCGACCGCATTGATGAGGCGCGCCAGGAGCTCCACCGGATCATCAATGATAGGGAGATGCGCGACGCCATCATTCTCATCTTCGCCAACAAGCAGGACTTGCCTGATGGTACGTAATGTCATTGTAATAGGAGCTATTTTACAAACGATAATATTATGTTAGTCTGATCACTATCATACATTGACTTTCCAGTCGAACCTTAACTTTGAACTCATCCTATGTTCTTCTGATTAATTTTGTTGCGGGTCCAATGATAGTTTAAAACTTTCCCCGGCCCACTATGGATCGAAATTGAGATTTATGGACATAGCGATTTTTTTCACAATTTCTATTTGAAAAAAATACCTGTCGATAGGTTACGTTATTCCGATGAATAAATGCTGCACAAGTTTTTCTCTAAAACCAATAGTTTGGCTGGAAAAAAATATTTTCCATTTTTCAACCGACTTCAAAAAAGGAGGAGGTTCTCAATTCGACCCGTATGTTTTTTTTTTTCTATGTTTGTTACGCGATAACTCCGCCAATTATGAACCGATTTGAACAAATCTGATTTCGGCGTATAGGTAATACCTCAAGGGTGGTCCCATTTAAATTTAATAATAGAAAAAACAACCCCCAAGGGTGGAAAATTGGGGATGAACTTTTTTATACGCAATATCTCCGCCAATTATAAATCAATTTGAACGATTATTTTTTTGTTGAATAGGTATTATCAAAAGGGTGGTTTCATGCGAATTTGAAGAAAATATTTCACCCCCAAGGGTGGAAAATTGGGGATGAACTTTTTTATACGCAATATTATTAATTTTGTGTTTTTTTTTTGTGTTCACGCATTTGAAGTCGGTTTTATTTTTTTTAAAAGTTAATTATCGTTGTATGGAATGAAACATAAAGTGGTCGATTTCGACTAAGCCTTGACAGATCTTGCTTTGAAACTACTTGAGCCTTGTTCTATGGCTTATTGACTATAATCCTACACTATCAGCGCGCGCCCAAAGTTAATAGTTTGGATGGAAAAAAATATTTTCCATTTTTGTTGTATGGAATGAAACATAAAGTGGTCGATTCCGACTAAGCCTTGACAGATTTTGCTTTGAAACTACTTGAACCTTGTTTTATGGCTTGTTGACTATAATCCTACACTAACAGCGCGCGCCAGAAGTTGCCCGTTCAGAAGTTATGCCGAGTCAGAGGTGCCGAAAAATAAAAATTAAATTAAGTAAAATTGACTTTTCTTTAGATAAGACGACAAGAGAAAGGTTAAATTACATTACTAAAGTATAGAATTTTCATGTTTTAGTTGAATCTTTAAAGATATACCCAAAAAAAGATACTTTTACTTACTTTAATTTTAATTTTTCGGAACCTCATAACTTCTGAACGGGCAACTTTGTGCGCGCGCTGTTAGTGTAGGATTATAGTCAACAAGCCATAGATCAAGGCTCAAGTAGTTTCAAAGCAAAATCTGCCAAGGCTTAGTCGAAATCGACCACTTTATGTTTCATTCCATATAACAAAAATGGAAAATATATTTTTCCAGCCAAACTATTGGTTTTAGAGACAAACGTTCAATGATATTTATTCATCAGAATAACATACCCTATCGATAGGTATTTTTTTTAAACAAATTGTGAAAAAAAAATAGCTTGTTTTATTACTATTAATTTTATTAAAATGTGTTTTTATCAGTAATGTAAGGTTAATTTACATTACTAACGTATAGAATCTTTATATTTTCGTTAAATCTTTAAAGATATTCCAAAAAAAAGTCACTTTTAGTTACTTTTTTTTAATTTTTCAGAACCTCATAACTTGTGAACGGGCAACTTTGGGCGCGCGCTGATAGTGTAGGATTATAGTCAACAAGCCATAGAACAAGGCTCAAGTAGTTTCAAAGCAAGATATGTCAAGGCTTAGTAGAAATCGACCACTTTATGTTTCATTCCATACAACGAAAATGGAAAATATATTTTTCCAGCCAAACTATTGGTTTTAGAGAAAAACTTGTACAGCATTTATTCATCAGAATAACGTAACCTATCGACAAGTTATTTTTTTCAAATAGAAATTGTGAAAAAAATCGCTATGTCCATAAATCTCAATTTCGATCCATAGTGCGGCCCCAGGACAAACTTAACCCTTACTGGTTGGTTTTTTATTGACGGTCAGGCTGTAGATCTTGGCTACACAGGACTTGCAGCGGTGGGAATAGTCCCGTTTTGAAAATATACAGAACGTTTAATTGTGTTACTGCTGCTTAAACAGGCACATAATCACTTAAAAACTCCGAATCAAGTATGTGCAGGATGTGCCACGAAGGGGACTAAACTGCTTATGATTATTGTAACCTCAATTGATATTGAACTGTGTACTTTCCCTAAATAAATTAATGATGACTGATAAATTACGAAATTAATCATGTGCTCATTAATATTACGAAGGTATTGGGGATATTAGTGACCTTTCTTACAAAACCATTGTTTTTCATTCCAGCAATGAAGCCACACGAGATCCAAGAGAAGTTAGGGCTGACGCGCATCCGCGACCGCAACTGGTACGTGCAGCCGTCGTGCGCCACGTCGGGCGACGGGCTCTACGAGGGGCTCACGTGGCTCACCAGCAACCACAAGTTATGAGCTGCGGAGTAGGCGGCCGCCGCCGCCCGCCCCAAGCCCGCCGCTCGCACGCCACGGTACGTACACAGCTATAGTCTGGTCGCCGAGCACGTAGAATTTTGTCCAATGACCCCAAGCTACCCATCCTTATCGCTCACGCGTATATTGCTGTCGCGCTCGCACACTCACTGCGGGCGCCCGTCGCACAGTCGCGACAGCAATATAATTACGCGCGAGCGATAAGGATGGGTAGCTTAGGGTCATTGGACAAAATTCTTCGTGCTCGCAGACCGGGCTTTAGTATAGGCCAGCGCAGATCTGGGTGCGTAGTGTGAGTGCACGTCAAACGCATTCGATATCGACTGCGTAAAAAGTGACATTAAGGCAATGTTCAGATGGCAAAATTTTAACGCGCGTTTTCAAATCGCGCGACTAGACATCGTAGTATTCACATACAACCGATCACATGAGCGCGCGTCAGCGAGCGTTGACGCGGCGCTCAGAGAAAAATTCTCTAGACGCAGGCGATCGCGCGTTGACGCGCGCTTTGACAGCTATGTAACGTCTGTTGACTGTTCAGATGAGCGCGCGCTTCCTTTGCAATAGCTTCTTCCACGTCCATTTTCTAAGCTCTATCGAAAACAGTCTGACGAACTCCTCGCAACGCGCGTTACATGTGAACATAGCCTAAATGTATGACGGATTGTACAGCGCCCCTAGCAGAAACTTTCAAGAAGTAAAATGTTCATATAGTTTTTGAACATGGCAATGTGCCTCTTAGCGAGGCACGGCATGGTCTCTTACCAAGAAAAAAAAACTATTTTTCATGTCATTCGATTCAAAATGAGTGGTGAATGATTTCAAATGACCCCAAGATAAAGATTACAAACGGCTCGCAAGTGTTGTTTAGTTGCCAGCTCGCGACTACTTCTGGAGACTTTGGAATTTCATGAAAACTAAAGAAGAACGGTCACGCCCCATACAAAAAAAACCCAGGCCCGACAGAAACGAGACATACCTCAGTTTTTTTGTAATGTCTTAATTAGTTAAATTATATATTTTTTATATTCGAAATCTATGTATAACACCAAAATATTACCCTTTGTTTTTGTTCAGGT